ATAAACAGAGCAGCTTGTCTGTGGCTTAGCACACAGCTAAGCTCTGCTGCAGGGCAAGGTGTAGCAGAAGTGTGGTGGGCAAACGCACTTACCTTGCCCTTCTATAGCAGGTTGGGAAAGGAGAGGGGCTGTTTGGATATCTATGTGGTGGGAGCTCCATTTATGCTAAGAGACTCCATTGAGGGGCTTACAAAGGCTATGAGTCAACTGGAGAGAAAAGCAGCATTTCATAGAAAACCGAAGTGTGACCCATTGTTTTTCTTGACCTCAAGGTCCTCAGCTGCACAAAGGGAGATCCTGGCACTGAATCCTCAGCAACAAATGCCTGTTGCGAGTGAGTGTATCTGAGAAGCAGTGACAATAAGGAGTGACCTGAAGGGCTTGTTTCCACCCCCAAGGGATGTTCCAAAGGGCCTGCCTGTGCCCCAAAGGGAGTGGGGCACCATGAGGCTGTCAGTAAGCTCTTCACAGGGGAAGCCTTTCCCTAGAAAAGGTTTTCTAGGAAGCSGGTGATGTGGCTGTCCCACCAGTGATGTTTCCTCTTTGAATTAGTTTTGCATAATCTAAGAATTCAAATGCAACTTTTATTTTGATGGTAAAGTGTGGATTTTTTTTTCGTGATTTGAGACCAGCAAGGGATTAGGATGGTTTAGAAGCCTTGTCTTTATTTCAGCCTTCCTTCAACTTGTAGCTACTTTTTTTCACAACTGAAGTAGACTTAAAAGGGATGTTTTCCTTTGCCCTCTTTATTACCCTAAAGTGCTGCAGCTCCTCACTAAAGTTCATGATTGAATTAGGGTGCAGATGGATTTAGGGGCATCATGAAACTCTTCCTGTTAAATGAYGGTCCCCAAATATATCCCTGTTGTGACCTGAGTGAGGCTGTGGTGGGTGCCTAAGCAGCTGTACACTGGTTCTGCAGACCATGTGAGCTGTGGAAAGGCATTTGCATATGGATCCCATGCTAAGAAGGTATGGCAGCATGGATTTTGTTAGTGACAATGACATGTGTGGGAGAAGTGATTTAATACGTAAGTTGTGCCTGGAATTGCACAACGAGGAAGTAGTCAATTCATGCAAAGCTTTAAAGGTTTTTTTTTTTTTTTTTCCTTCTGAGACCTACAAAATTTGGGATTTTGAGATTTCAAGTAGCTGTGGAAGGCCCAGTGTTATGTGACATAGAAAAGAACAATCATGACTGAAGTGAAGGGAGGGGGAAAAAGGAAGTTTCAAGATAATGTGCTGATATGGTGGCAGAAAGGATAAAAGTGAAAGGAAATGGAAAAGAGTAGAAACTGAGGAAGGCAAATCAGTAGCTYAAGTGGCTCTACAGGAATCATAGCTATCAAGGCTAGTCAGTCGTGACTTTGAAGGTGACAGATGTTTTACTTTAAATCCTTGTTTTAGTGTGTCCAAATTAAAAAAAAAAATATAGCAAGTGCACTGGAACTGGTGCAAAATATCTGACTTTAGAGAAAATTGTCAGAATTGGAAAGGAGAAAAGGAGATCCTAGGATAGTGCTGGGGTTGGAGTAATAGGGAGTTGCTGCACTGTCTGAATCATCACAGGGCATCTTCACAGTTCCAGTTCCCATKGTAGGCATTGCCTCCGTCAAGGGAGAGGAGCCAGGGGCACCTTCCAGGCATATTCTTAGGAGGAAGAAATTATTACACTCAAGCAACGTCAGGAAGAGCTATGTGAGCTGGGATCAATATCTAGGATAGCCTTTTGCTGGGAGTAATGAATCAGTTCAAGAGCGAAGCAGACAGTGTGAAGGAAAAGATGAGTGAGAAAGAGGAGTAACTCGAAGGGATTAATGACAATGATAAGCCAGACGGTTTGATAGGGAGCATGATACCTGAGGGACCTGGCTCTGGTCCCTTGCGCTGCAATAATGACCTACATCATGCACTACACCCACAACATGGGCCTCCAGGTTATGGAGGACTGCTGTTGGGAGGTAGCTGGTATCCAAGAAAGCTGATGTTGCAGACATAGCATTTTAAAGGCTGAGGACCTGGCAGAGGGGCCCATCTCTGGGGACTGTAGGGCTGGGCACCTCTGATGTTTTATACATACATGGTGTCCATGCACAGGTCAGCAGGGAAGAAGGGAYGCTTGTTGTCTCCTGCAACAGCTGATGCCTGTTGTTTGGAAATGAAATGTCTATCACTGAATACCTATCTCTGGCTCACAGTACGAAAAGTTGCATAAAAATCTTTCAATAGGAATTATTCCTGTCCTATGGAAGGAATAGCACAGCAGCTCTTTTAATGGATTTTTAACTGTTTGGCTGCAATGATCCATGGTGCATGCTAAGCAAAAGGGTTACGAGCCACTAAAATTCACTCATTAAGTAGCCTCTGAAAATGGCATGTTACAGGATGATTTGGGGCATTTAATATATATTGCTCTATAATTTTCTGGTAAGAGAATCATTCAGTCGGTTTCAGAATATGAAAGCCACTTCTCTGATTACTGAATGAGTAAGTACAGTCTGGAGATTTACCTGATTTCTGCCTGGTCTGAGTTGAACTCAAAAGTGTTCGGGACAGTGACATTTAGCAGAGGCTACTGGAAACTAAATACGTGTTTTCTTGATACTGCAGTTGCTGTTGGAAAAACTGTCTTTATAGAACAAAAAGGAAGGTTTGGACCCCTCTAAAATACTGAGATTTGACCAAGTGAATGCCTCTATAGGCTATTTTAGGACAGCTAACTGGATAGATATTTTACAATGTGTTGTGTTACAGGATGTGTTACAAGGTCATTAGAATGCTCTTCATATCCAGATACAGGAGGACAGCATGTGAACTTCACTATCTCTAAGTTAGAAATGAGATGATTCGGTGCCAGAGAAAATGTGAATCAGTTAAATTTATAAAGATTTTGAAGGGCAAAGCCAGGACTGCATAATGCAAAATATTTTCTAAATGTAAAAGAAAACAGAGACTATCCCGATTGGTCAGAGAAGCTCTGCTGGCAGACTGAATTCTGTTGGGAACAGACCACTTCTCAGTGACAACAGCAGATTTCCAATAATTCTTCAGACTTCCCAGGTTTAGCAGATGAAGAAAAAGAATTATTCAAGAAGCAAATAGAGCAGATCTGCAAATACAGGAGAATGTTTTAAGGCCAGACTTGCAAACATTTGCCATCTGCAGACACCAGAAGACTCTGCATCTGCTTTAAAAAAATGGATTGATCCTTTCTGATTATTTCTTTCAGATCCCTATGGTTCTTAAAATTAGCAGTTTTATATTATCTGTGATGAAGCCACTGTTTAGTTTCATACAGAGGGCAACTCACTTGTAGTTTCAAACTGCACAGCTTTGATCAGTAAGACAGCTAGCCTTAGATAGCCGTAGAATAGACATTTATTAATAAGTCTGTGCTTCTCCTCTAAGTTACCTCATCTGTCTTCCAGTTATGCTTTCATTAGTGATAGAATAGGCTTGTCTAGTTCTATTGCTTTTTTTTTTTTTTTTTTTGGCAAGAAAATAAAGAGTAGATGATAGTGGAAATTAAAGACTTTCTTTTTAAACAGATTTAAAATGTTTGTTCATGTTTCTGGGAACTATAGCTGGGAAATTAATGCATTCTGTTCAGCTGAGTGTAAATAAAGCCTGCAGTATGGCAGGCACTTAAAGCAGTTCATGAGAAATATCTGAAACTGGATAATAATTGTTGTCTCGAGGGATACAGATCCTTCATGATATAAATCTCTTCTTTAGCAGTTGGGATAAAGGAAGTTATGCCATTACTCTACTGGGCAAGATATGGTTTGTTTGTGGTATTTTTTTTCAATGGGTAGGTTCCCTTCAACTGTGGGAGTTCTTTATACGGTGGAAGCAACTTCTGAAGGAAACACTTATAATAATTGTCCCTTTAAAAGTGTTCTGAATGAGTTGAGTCTGGGCTTTGGTGCACTTGAGGGGTGATGTGGACTGTTTTTATTTTTCAAAAATATTATTGTTCTTTCTCATCAGTATTTGGGATCTGCTGGCCTCAAAATGTTATATGGCCACGTCGTTAACCAGTTGGCTTCTTCAGACACAGAAAGCTCTCCAACTACTTTGGTCAAAACAGTCATTTTTTTTGAGATCCTCGGGGTTCCTAGAGCAGTGTGTGCATACTGTCTGTGACAAAGCTACTGTCTCCAGCTTCTCTGCATGAAGAGGACACCTCTTCCATGAGCTGAGGTGGGTTGTTCCATTATCAGCGAACAGCTGAGGGAAAAACAAAAGAGCCTGGAAAAACTGAGCAGTGAAGTGGTTGGCACAGGGCACCTATGAGATCATATTGACTTTTCATAGTTTTCAGGGCAGCTGGAGTTGGGTTGGATTTGGTCTCCCTCTATATGCTGTCTCCATTTTAGTGCAACTTTTCAAAATTTTCACTTACTAAACATAAGAGAACAAGGAGAGAGGGAGAGGGTAGGCAACCACTGTATACAGCATTTGTAACATTTAATTATATGAGACAGAGATTTTCCAGTATGTCTTTGCAACACAAAGAACATTTAAATATCAGCATCACAGTATATATTTTCCAAATCACAACACCCACACATTTCCTTAGCCAAGTAGTTTTCCTTCTATGGCTGCATATCTAAAATTAGCCTGAAGGTCAAATCTGAATAGAAATACCCTTGCCATTGAACGTGCTGGGAATGATTGGTGCAATGGGCTCAATTTTCCATCAAAAAACATCTTTTTTTTTTTTTTTTTTAATAACAGTTCCTTTTACAAATAAAAATGTTGGAGAAAGGCAAAATCAGGCCTACTGAATAAAATCATCATCCCATATTCTGCTTTCATTGTAAGGATATTTTTAAAGTCAACTTTTAAATATAACAAAATGGATATAGTGAAGCTACAGTATAAAAGATGYAGAAAGAGTCTCCATAATATCTGAGCACCAGCTTGTAAAAGAAATTCAGAAGATGTTTATATATGAAAGATGTACACATTGAAGAATTCACTGTTAAGAAATGTATTGTTGAGAAGAAATGAATAGTTCAGGTCTAAAAATAGTCGCCTAACCTGCAGATGTATTATGTCAGGACAACTGCACACAGAACTATGCAGTCTATCCTGCATAAACGCAAAAGCACTGTCTTGCAAAAAGTGCATTTATCAGCCACAGTGTTTTATTGAGTGCTTTAATAATACAAGTGTACATCAACTGATCCACAGTCAAAAGTGGCAGGTCCCTAAGAAATTTACAAGCACTTTTTTTTTAAGTAAATCAAAATACATATTAATTTGTTCAACGCAATAGCCTTTTGTGTGGGAAACAGAAGGCTAGTGATAAACACAGTCTTAGTAATGCACAGTGATTCTTGATTTTAAGCTTTTATACAAAACTTGTTCCCAGTAGCATGCACCCACCATTAAAGACTTCAGTACAAAAAAATAACCCTAAACACTACATTTAAGTAGAAACGAGATATAATTCTGAATTTGTTTGTTTTCCCCAAAACCACATGAAAGAAAAAAAAAACACACATTAATACAAAGCTTTGTGACAAAGCTCTATACTATTACAGATCCAACATTCTTTGCACTGATAACCAGAATTCCCTGTCTACACTTGAGGGAAACAGCTTTCAAGTTAACAGAACAAAACAAAACAAATAAAAATAAAAATAAAAATAAAAAAGGAAAGTAAGGACAACCTTTTGTCACAAAATGGTTCAAAATTTAATAAAAAATAAGAATGAAGGGAAGGGCTATTGATGCACTTAGTGAATGTGCTTGCACAGGTCCAGCATATTCTAGAGGAGATTCCTATGTCGCGTATCGCTTGGTCCACTGTCTGGCCATTCTGTCATGCTCTGCTCTGTTAGTCATATACTGAGTGGCAATACTTCCAACCAGGGGGTCAGCTGAAAAGGAAACACAAACCATGAAATACTCATTGAGGAAGTTCTGTTAGGTTTATCTGTAAGAATAAAGTGCTATTTGCATTCTGCAAGTCAGCATGCACAATGGAAGAAATAAAATAGATGAGAAGGAGTTGACTGGACAATTAACTGTAAATTATTAGTTAGTTTATAAGTAAAGCTTTTTTTTTTTTAGATTTTAAACAAAATTTCCAATAATTTTATTCTGATATAAAAGTGACAGAGAGACTTATACATGATAGGAATAAGCATTTCTTTAAAACATTAGATCTACACTACTATCACGTAAAAAAAAGTATCTATACTATTACTACCACYTAAAAAGAGTATAGGCTCTAATCCTATTATCAGGTTAAATGGGTTTTATGACTACTTTTAAAGTATAAAGAAAGACCAGGATTTCAGGCGGTGAGTACAATTTTCAAAGCAACAGAAGTTAATTACAAACTTTTGTAATTAGTATTTGATTTAAGAGGCTTTTCTGAGATAGAATATGCATGAATATGGACAGAATACTGTATGATTTGTTTCTGTCATGGTACTTCTGAACTTCCAAAAAGAAGAAATAATATGAAAAAATAATATGAAGAATTGAAGAATAATATGAAGAATATGAAGAAGAAATAATATAAACAGTATTTTTGCATTATTAGTAATCTGCAAATCTCAAATAATTAAGCAAGATCAGTTAGGGGAAAAAAAGGGCTCTCTAAGGGGAAAAAAAAAAAAGAGACTTTTCCAGAAAGGACTAAGTGTAATCAAGATTTTTCTCTTTCAAACAACAATATCTTCTCAGTTTAAAATAGACAAAATGTATGGATTTTTGTCCCTTTTTGGTAGGCCCATACTCTTGGTACTTCTCCTGAAATAGCAAATTTCTTGAGATTGTATCACATACCATGCAATAGTACTGATKTTTTTTTAATTCCTTTCAAAGGCTAGAGGAACACGAATTCTTATTAGAGCCCAAAATAATTAGTTTTGCAGTTGACTCAAGATGGTGCCATTGAACAACATGAATATCAAACTTCCACAGCGTATCTGTAATCTCAGTGTTGTGATTCTACAGCATAATCAACCATTGAGACCCTCCTGGGCTAGACATGAGGCCTTCTGCAAAGCAGAATGGCTCTAGGCTTTTTTGTTTGTTTGATGGTTAGGGTGTACGATAGCATAAATACATTTGCTCAGCCAAAAATCAATTCATTGTCTTACTGCCAACATTAGTGAATGTTAGTAAATCATATCTAGTGAAAAAAATCYTTTGCTCTGTATTGAACATATTTTCCTGATCCTGTGGTTTGAATCCTAAATTTGAAACTTMTAAATTAGTAAGGCGAGCAATCACTGTGAACGTGGTGCACTAAGTCCCCATAGTTTCAGCCCTGCAAACACTGCATGTGCTTAACTTTAATATCTTAATATATCCAGAGGAGATCATTGAGGCATGGACTTTACTATTTTTACATGCATGACTGTCAAAGAGGTATATCTAATCTACGATCTATTTTAAAAGTTTCAGAATAGAAAGAGTATCACCTTTATCTTCTCAGACAAAGAGAAGAAATACATAGGGGATTACTGGAAGGATTTTGTTTGGCACAAATAGAAAGCTAACTGTCTACTGATACTTGCAGGGAAAGTTGTTCTTCRTGACTGGAGTAATGTTGGAGAAGAACTACCTGCAAGACATTAGATGCCCATACAGCACTTGTTGCAGGTGATTCCCACCAAGAGAGTGATCTGGGATTTGGTATCATCTCAGGGTGCTTCCCTGAAATTAGTGCCCTTCTCCATCAGCATCTGCCTGAGCAAAGGAGGAATTCAGGAGCGAGGAGAAATACTTCTCTGTCTCAGTGTGAGCAGTGTCCAAACCTTTTGTTACTCCCAGTGTATTGTTCTTTACAAATTGGCAATTTGTCTATAAATTTACTTAATTACAACAGTATTAAATAAAGAACAAAACCATGTTTTGGCAAAGCTGYGAACTGAAGGAGAAGAAAAACGGCTCTTGCCAAAAGGACTGAACTATTTCCTATCTCTGTCACAGGGCTTTGAGCTGTGACGTCTAAATACTCAGTAATGTATGATGACTTTAATAAGAACTCTTTAAGGGGTGTTTGAAAAGCTAGTTTATTTTAACAGTTCCTGTGAAGCCATAAAACTAGGAGAAGGCACAAATGCTTTGGCTGGAAAGTCAGAATGGCTCAGGAGGAGGAAATATTTCCCAGTACCAAAGCAGCCTTCATATTGCTTCTATGGAGACCACTCCTTGCAAGAGTTTGTGCTAGGTGACTTCTAGCAGGTGCTGGCAACATGTCTGGGATCTCTACAGCCAAAGCTGTGAGGGGAGAATGAGTTGGTCTCAGCAGATGGTTACTGGGGTGTTTGGGGGACTGGGGAAATACTTGCTGCAACTGGTGAAACATTGAGGCCCAAGGGATGACAGACTTGCCTCTGGTGCAAGGGAAGCCATGGGACCTCTCTTGAGCTAAGAGAGGGAGATGGGACACAGCAGAGAAGCACCACGCTGATGCCCAAAAGGCCTCAGAATTAATCTTTACTCTTCTATGAAGCTGTAATGTTACCTCATGAAAGTTACTTAAGTGTGAGTTTCTCTKCCTTAGTGCCCTTAATTTTCATTAATTTTTGATTAAAATGATCCAAATATTGGCACAGTGGCCAATTTCATCCAGCATGATGCATTTGCACCGGAGACACAAGGAAAGTGTGTAAAATCCAGAATATAAATTGTCTCTTTTTGCATCTGCCGGCTTCAGGCTGTGTTGGAGGACGGAGCAGGATTGTAGGCACAAGGAGAAAAATCTCTCAAAACTTTGAGTCACCAGCTCCACGCAGCTCATGCATAGCATGAGAATTATCACCTAAACCAAATCTGATTAAACAAAGATTTAATTCTCAATAATAATAATATGCTAAAGATATGGCATGAGCCTTGGCCCTAGCCTCCCAGTCCTACGAAATGCTAAATAAGAGGAAAAACAAACAGTTCCCATTTCCTCCCCTGTTCAAGGCTGTGAGTGGCTGAGCATAACCTGATTCTCAGCTGGGCTGCACAGTAAAATGAATATTCTGAAATCTCCATTAGTAGGGCCAAGTAAGTATTTATAAAAGAACTGCTGCATTAAGTATCCAATTAAAAATAAAAAGGATCACTGAAGCTCAAAATATATAACTGTACTTTTCCCATGTTTCCATTTCTCATTACTGTAAAGCTGTTTCTTATTTTGCATTTGTATATACCTGTGGTTTTATTCTTCTTGTTAGAGATTTGTTTCCATAACTAATAAATCACTCTTACTTTTTCTTCTGTTTTTTAGCAGTATTGTGATTCATCAGTGAATCACACTTCATTTTAGAAATTCACTCCAAATGGGACTGTGTCCAAACAACAAGGAAAAGCAGAGGATCGGAATATAAAGCTATGCCAAAAATGTATTATCRGAATAACTTAATGAAATAAATGAAGTTAAAACCACAATAGATTAATAACAAACAGCAAAACTAAGCTATGTTTCACATGCACAAAAGCCACAGGTGCCATAAATAACACCTGCATATACAAGTCCAGGCAACAATATTCCCTGAAACATGAACTTTTAAAGCAGTGAATATATATCAACCATGAGTAAAGGTAAGTAGGATCCTAATCCTGCAAACATTGAGCATGGACCATATTGTGGGGCTCAGACAGGGTTCCTGTTCTTTTTCCTACTTGCACGCAGGGCAATTTTGTTATTACCTAACGTAGTAGCTCCTTCCTCCTGGGCTGGGTCACTCATACAGAAAAGCAGGACCATATGGAAGCAAGCAGGGCAAGCGTTGCGGAGACCAGTGACTGGTTCTGCAGATAACTCAGACCATCAGAGCAGTTAATCTCCGCTGACTGGGAGATTAGTTCTCCTGGCTGCTGCCTAACGCTCTCCTGTGCAGGACTTGCAATGGTGCATCTGAACTACTGCTTCCCTCCAGCTCCGGGGTCCCCCAGGACAGATGAAGTGGCTTGCCCTGATTCCTAACTTGCTGATCAGGGGCAGGGTAGCAATTCCGTGTCCTGGATGGAAGAGCCCTGCACCTCAAAGGCCATGTTTTGGGACCTCTTATATCTCCAGGTTCAACGTGGCTGTCATGTAAGCTGTTGTGGTGTGACACCACCAACACACATCTCCTCCTGACATGGCCCCAAGTACAGGCACCCCAGCCTCCCGCGCTCTAGAAACCCAAAAAGTCTGCACATTTCTCACCTYTCCTACCCTGTGCTCAGCAGTGCCCAAACCCTCTGTGCCCACTTGTGGGAGCACTAGATAGTGGGTTGCATATTACCTGCTAAGCAAAGAAGTTGTGCTCTGATGACTTTAATATCTTATAATTTATTGTTCTTTATAGTGTTTAACTCTCAGATCTAGCATTTCAGCTGTAAGAGGCCTCTACAACGTTTAGGCAAAAGCTAAGACTCAGTGAGATAAGAAATGCCATACRGAGAACTAAAATATGAAGAAAAGCTATTGTATCCTTTGTATGATCAGTGTAGTTGTTCAATCCTCCCTCAACTCATACCTTTAAAAAAAGATATGTAATCTTCCTGTTATATCAGCATTCATAAAATTACAATGTATTTACRTGTTGTTTTGAAAGCTCATCTAGCTGGAGTTCCTGCCTAGCTTAAAAATGTTGGTTAAAAAAAAGCTTAAAAAGGCTACTATACGATGAGTTGCCATTTTCTTTTGCAGCCACTTAATATGACTATATAAGGAAGAATTTTTGTGTCTCATATCTGTTGCAGGACTAATCAAATTTACAGTGCAATTCTAGGGAGTTAATGCCATTGGGGATTTGGATGAGCTGAGCTTCGGTCATTACAAAATTTCGGCTGTGTTTAATGTTAATGCTAAGTTATACTGCTTTATCATTCACATGACAAACTATAATTCTTATTTAAAACTTAAGTTTCCCTCCAAATA